GGTCAAATTATTTTTTAAATTTTTTAATTTAATTTTATTTTATTTTTTTATGGACTCGGAAGCTGCGAATCCGAGGCAAACTTCAGCAAACTTTCCCATCTTCCAATGACCGTCCTTTGGTCGGGAATCGCGAACGTACAGGTCCTAAAGGCGGTTATGCCCAGCATATACATTGGTTTGTAGTTAAGGCTGCGGACAAACGTTACTGTTGATCTACAAGTCATGCATCGTTTTGTTGTCCATTCATAGCGTTTGTGCGAAGCCAATCCTGAGCATGTGTAGATCAGCGCACCGCAGATCATGCGTTACATCTCGCGATAAACGAGTCGCTTTGACACACTCAGTTCAACGAAGGTAAGGTCCTTAAAGCTCACTAGTTTTGGTTACATTGCTGCTCTCAGAAGCCTGCTGAATGAAGCGTTGCTAGCAGCCATACATTATAGATGGCTGCTATAATGCCATCTATAGTCGATAGATGGCATTATAGCAGCTGGTTAGCTATGTGTTAGCTAACCAGCTTCATTCGTGTCAGCCTGGGATGCATTGGTTGAAAAGGCTAGCTTGACTGCTAACTGTCAAGGCTTCAATTCATCTCTTAAACATTTAATACACCATATGAACGCTGCTAATATAATACAAAACGCATTGAAACCAAGCAATGACTAAATGTATCAGTTCGGCTTTGTTGTTCCAACCTCAGAGGAGTCCACTACGGAGAGAAGTTGGTCTGAAACAAGGATAATTTCTGTATGGTGAAGGAGAAAATTTGAAGCTAGTTAAATCACCATGGCAACAGAGCTCAGAGGCTACTTCAGAGCAATTTTCTCAATATTTTCTAAACCCTGTTTTGAATATTAAAATAACCTAACAGATCTGAGGTCGTTAACATCTTGTGTTGATTATCTGCGTATAATTTATGATAAATGTGCTGACACTACTTTTTTTCTTCTTCTGCCTGTCAAGAAGCCTGCAGTTTGATCAAACCTGAAAACACGTTTGACTAAAATATGAAAACACAGCTGAAGAAAGTAAAAATGTTAAAATGAAGGGGGGAAAAAAAGCATGATTCTTTAACACTGGACATCAAGATTTATGACATTTAAAGCAAAGTGCTTCATGTAGAAAAATGGAGAACGTGTTGTCTCACATATAGATAAGCTGAACTGCAAGAAAACTTATAAGTTGACTTATTACAATGTTTGAACATTATAAAATTGAACATTTATATCTGAAGTGTTAGAAAAAGGACTGATTCTTTGCTGTTAAAGAAAACAAGTAAAAATGTTTGTACACAGGTGGGTAGAGTAGCCTGAAGTAATACTAAAGTGAGAATAGCATTACTTTAACATATTTTGCTTAAGTAAAGGTAACAAAGTAGCTATTCAAAAAATTACTCAAGTAAAAGTAATAACTTATTTGGCAAAAAGGCTGTTCATAATTGAGCAAAACATCAAACATTAAGTATTTAAACATTACATCATCAGAGAGACCAAAATATAGTTATGTGTATTTTATGGTATTAAAGATAAAAAAATAAGTTATGTAAATAACATAATTAGAAAGTAACAAAAGATAAATCAAGCAGATTATTTTTTTCCAAATCAATTTCCTTTAATATGAAATTTTAACAAAAACATTTGTTTGGTGAATTTTTGGCTAAAGGAAGCTTGTTCTTCATTCATAGGTAGAGTATCTAGAAAACTCAAGTAAAAATAGCTTCATAGTAAACTTACTCAAGTAAAAAATACAATGTAGTGAAAATACTCTTGTAAAGTAAATTTTTTACAAAGAACTACTTAAGTAAATATAATTGAGAACATAGCTAGCTAGCCTGCATATTGGGAAGTTATAAAAAGTGTAACAAAGGAAGATGCACGCTATTATATATGTTACTAATATTCTCTATTGTTCTACAGGATTGTTTGCTAAACGAGTTTCTTCTGAGGGAGAAGATGTCTCTGAAAGAAATGGCTCCGTCGTCCTCCATCATCCCCCTGCGCTCTGACGAACATCAGCAGAGTATTCTGAGCAAATTCGACAAGCTACGGAAGAAAGACCTGCTTTGCGACATAACTCTAGTGGTGGAGGACGTGCACTTCAAGGCTCACAAGGCTCTGCTGGCAGCCAGCAGCGAGTACTTCTCCCTCATGTTCACCGCAGAGCAGCCGGTCCCGCGGTCCACCTACAGGCTGGACGGCATGGCGGCGAAGACGTTCGGCGCGGTGCTGGAGTTCATCTACAGCGCCCAGGTGTGTGTGGAGGAGAGCTCCACGGAGCAGCTCCTGGCCACAGCTCAGAGGGTAAAGGTCAGCGAGCTCGTCCATGTCCTCACTGAACTCACAGACTCCACAGGCACGAAGGATGAGAATACGCCAGACAGAACCGAGGCAGCGGACCCGTCGAAACGCAAACGAGGGCGGCCCAAGAAAAGCGCAGGTGGACTCCGTGACGGCTCAGACGATGTCCAGGCTGCAGACGGTGACCCTGCCGAAGACCACAACACCGGACCTGGCCAGAGGCGTCAAAGCAAACGCAGGATAAGGACGCCGGTTAAATACAAGGGCTACAGGATCAGCGGTGACGGAACAGGAAGCAAAGAGCTGGGGGGGAGGGGCTACATGAGGAAGTACCCCAACACCGAGGCGCGATGCGACGACTGCGGGAAAGTCTTCAAGCACCATCTGTTTTTAAAGATTCACCAAAGAACTCACACCGGTCGTTACAGATTCCATTCAGCAAGTCTGTGACCAACACTCCTGACGTTTCCTCCCACTGAACTTTCTCCTGTTTTTGTCCCATCCCGCTCCCCATCCAGGAGAGAAACCATTCCACTGCTCCGTCTGTGGGAGGAGCTTCAGTCAGAAGCACACCTTGCTGGCTCACCAACGCATTCACACGGGGGAGAAGCCGTTCGTTTGCAGCATCTGCTCAAAAGCTCTTTCCACCAAACACTCCCTGCAGGAGCACATGAACCTCCACGAAGGTAGACCCACAGCGCTTTGCTCCTACTTCATCTGAGTTTCAGCTCATCATAAAAACTATGAGCCTTATGGTTTTCTGTTAAAAATATAAAACAACTTCCACTTTATAATAGTTGCATCTCGAGGTGGGCATTTAGCGTTTATCATTTATCATGATAAATATCTTAATTTGATTTATTGAAATAAATTCCAATTAATGATGTTTAAAAAAAAACAACCTTAAAACTGTCCTTATTGTTGAAATTATTAGTTTTACTATCTTCTCCACTGTTTGTTCAATAAAAGTGTTGGCATTTTGTTCCCCATTTTAAACAATTTTCTTGTTTCCACAGGGGAGAAATCCTACAACTGTGATAAATGTGAAAAGACCTTCACTCAAAAGAAACAACTGAAAAGCCACTACAGAGTTCACACAGGTAAGAAAACCTCCGCTAAGCACCCTCATGCTTGGTGTTATTACTTTTCACATCACTTTATATTTTCTCCTTATTTTTAATCTGAAGGTAAATCGTTACCAGAATGTGATCTGTGTCATCACAAGTTTATGGATGCAGCTCAGCTGAAGAAGCACCTTAGAACTCACACAGGTAAAAAAAAAAAAAAACTCCAAACGATTTCTTCATCTTTCTGCCCAGAAACCAAGCGACGTTTTCACAGCGTGCGGAAACTTTGTTTTCCACAGGTGAGAAGCCTTTCACTTGTGAAATCTGTGGCAAATGTTTCACAGCCAAGAGCACGCTGCAGACACACATCATGATTCACAGGTGAGGGATGGAAGCTGCTACTGATTTATTGACGGTCTGTACACAGATATCCAACGATTACACTCTCCAGTTATATTAACGCAGACTGTGACAACTTCTGTTTACCCCGACTGTTCAGCTGCTACCTCTATGGTTTAGTGTAGAAATGATGGAGAAAGGGTTTTTATATCAGGATAATGTAAAAAATCTGATATAAGACATAAGACTTTTTATTTGTCGTTATGTTTCCAGAACATAAAGAAATTGCTGTGGTACCCTCAGTGATAATAGATAAATAAAATAGATAAATAAAAGAATAAATCGTATGAATAGTCATAAACATGAAGGAGGCTTCATGAATGTTTATGACTATTGTCATGAAGTGTCACTCGGTAAACAATGACACTTTTAAAGGACTTTTAATCCAACTTTTAATGAGACTTTGCGTTAAAAGTGTCATTATTTACCAAATCACCTTTCATGACAACATACATAAACATTCATGAAGCCTCCTTTATGTTCATGTCACCCCTTCAAATAAAATGTTACCAAAAAACCTAATTAATAGTTCTTATCATCACTTTTTATCATTATCAGAGTAGTACTGTAAAATATTGTGATAAAACTTTTAGTTCATATCACCTACCTCTAATATTACACCAGCCGTAATGTTGTCATAAACAATCAGTGCTTCATGTTGATTAAAGCCTTTCTGTTACGTTCCTGTTCAGAGGTGAGAAGCCGTATAAATGTAGCATCTGTGAGAAGTCTTTCTCAGACCCCAGCGCCAGGCGGCGCCACATCGCCTCCCACTCTGGGAAGAAACCCTTCACCTGCTCCTTCTGTGGCCTGTCCTTTACCCGGCCAGACAACCTGAAAACGCACACAAAGTCTCACAACAAGGAGAGACCCGCCGCCACGGCGACCGAGGCCTCGCCAGCCGCTCCGCCAGAGGAGCCGCGCAACGTCCTCCATCTGCAGCCGTACCAGCCGGCGCTCAGCTCTGAGCAGGAGATCCAGCTGGTGGTGGCTGGCGGGGTGAACAACATCAACTTTGTTCCGGGTCAGGATCAGGAGATCAGCCTGGTCGCCGCTGACGGAGAGACGACGCAGTCGGCCCACTCCAGGGTCACCCTCCTGGCCCAGCCGGCGGGGCCGATCCAGAACCTGGCGCTGGTCGCTCAGGGAGACGCCGCGGCCCACGCCCCACAGGTTCACTCCATCGGCATGTTGGAGAGCCACCAGCCGGAGCAGATGCACGTCATCACCCTGACTAAAGAAGCCATGGACCAGCTGCAGGCCCACCACGGCCCGCCACATCCTCTGCAGATAGCGCGGCCCCTCCAGGTGATGCAGCAGCAACAGCAGCTGGCCGTGGCGCAGGAGAGCTCGCAGGTTCACAGCCAGGCCATCCACATCAGCAGCCAGGTCAGCCAGCCGATCTCCATCAGCCAGACCACCGAGCAGATCTCCAGCCACCACATCCAGGGGCAGACGTTCCAGATCCAGGCCGGGACCGTGTCATACCTGTACACCACCGGCCTTCCCCAGGACGGCTCAGAGGAATGCATTCTGCAAACTAAGATGTGAAGGTGCTAACAAACCGATGCTGCTTTAAAAAATGTCTTTAAAAGTCTTACATTTTGAGACGGATCAGAAAGTTGGCCAGTGCTCAGAACAAAAACGAATTGGAACATTTTACCTGTTTAGCTCATCGATAATAATAATGCGAAGACCTTCTTAAATGTTAAGATTACACTAAAAGAATGGAGACTCCTAATCTTAATCAATGAGAAGATTACCAAAAGGTGTCTCCGCACCCTTAAACAGTCTTAAATTGATGTGTCTAAAATTAAGGCCTTAAAATGTTCTTAAATTTATTGAAAAACAATAAACTATGATGAAATACATTCATCACACGTCTTAAATTTTGTGGTGGCAAAACAATTTATCTCATATATATCATGGAATTTATTTTTTTCTTCCAGGACTTTATTGTTGTGTAAAACTGAGACTTGTAGACATTTTCATTGCGTGACTCAGGCTAGCTGCTAATATACCCTTGCTAGCTACTACCTTGCTAGCTAGCTAGCTGTAGTACCTGGCTAGCGAGCAAGGGGGCTCGGTAGCCAGGAACTGTCTAGGTTTTAAGCATCTATCATGGGGAAGTGCTAATTTATCTGGACGATGTTCATCTTAGCCACTGGCTCACTTCCGTTCCTAACCGATATTGTTTATTTATTTGTGATTTAATTTTGTACATCTCTGTCTTGGATCAAGTCTTATGTTCTATTCATAATAGTTTAAAAAATGTCTTTAAATGTCTTACATTTGAGTTGGTGAAACCTGCAGAAACCCCGTGTTATTAATAAGCTTTGTATCATTTGACCTACTTCCCCAACAGTCAGATTTTGGGTAGAAACTGAAATGATCAATTTGGCTAATGACTCTAAATATGTTTTTGTTTTTTTTCTTTAAAGTTGTGATTAGCAGATGTTTTAAAAGTTAAAGGGCTGTATTTTGTTCTCATGTGGATACACTACTAAGGGCTTGTTCTTTGTTTGCTCTTTATATGCAGACGCTGTCATTTTCTCAGTTGTAACAGATAAACTAAACAATACAATGGTAGAACTCAGAGCTTAAATCTTGTATGGAAAAATGTTTATTTGTAAGAAATAATTGGATGTGATTTGAAAGACAACACAAAAGTCTTTACAAGAAAATAATGATGCCGTAAATTAATAAATATAAACATTTAAATGTTTATATTAAAATGTATAGAAGCAAATATATATAGAATGAAAGACGTAGCCTGAAAATGAACAATGAAAATAAAATCTTTGTACAGTGCCTTACAAAATAATTCATTACCTTTTTCTGTCTTTTTTTTTCTTTTTCTTTACATTATAACCACGATCATCATTGTATTTATTGGGTTCTATGTGATTGACCAAGCAAAAGTGGTGCATAATTGTAAAATGAAAGATATTTTTTTTTTTTTTTTACCAATAAAATTCTGAAAAGTGTGGTGTGCATTTGTATTTTTCCTGTCTGAGTTAAAAACTTTTTAGAAGCAGCTTTTGTGGCAATTACAACTGTAAGTCATGAGGGTATGTGTTTATTTTACAGCCATCAGTTTATGGTGTGCCCTTCAGCTCAAGGGCGTTTGGGTCAGGAAACAGGGCAATTATCCAAAGCGCACTAGTAAGTCCATCTCTGAGTGGCAAATGGAGATTTTGGAGTCTGGAATTTAATCTGATTAGGATGTTGTAGAATAACTTTAAACGGGCTGTTCATGTTCAAAAACCAACCAATGCATTTCAAATAAAATCATTGTATAAAGGATAACAGACCACAATTCCTCTGAAGTAAAAGAAAAGAGCAGTTGTAGCTACCAAAGGTGTCACAAACAGCTTTTAGATTATGGAGTTCCTTAATAGGGTTTTTTCACCCCTTAATAAATGAGATCATCATTTGGAATTTTTAAATGAAACCAAAACAGACTAAATCTTTAAGGACACACTTTGCCAAGAGTTCATTCGGTCTTTCTGTTCTGGGATGTAACCCACCGCTTGCTGTTTCTGCTCCCTGGGTTCTTGGCAGTGCTGAAAACTCATGAAGTGTTGAGTTTGTTTTGCTGCCAACGTCCAGGGTCGACTGCTGGCGCTGCCAAAAGGTCCTGAGCAGACCTGGGACAGAAATAGAACAGGCAAGGAGGTTTACTGCAGAGCACAAGTCGAAGTTGAAAAAAATCTTCAAGGTATCTGGATGATATTGAGAGCTTCATTATCGCCTCTCTTCAACGGGAAAAGCTCAGAACGTTAGGTTGAGATTCTGAGTTTTTGAAGTACGCTCAAGGCTCTAGCGAAAGCCTAAAAACTCCCACTCATATTTGGTTGAATATATTTAAACAATTTTCTCCATGAGTTAAAGATTTTTGAGCAGACCCCTCCCTTATTCTTATTTATTTCATTTACTTTATTTATTTCATTCGGAGATGGTATTCTGCATTCCTCGGTTATAACAAGGAGTTAACTTGAGCTACCATTGCCTTTCTGTCCTCTTGAAAATCTATCCATTTTGCTCCACACAGCTCCCACTCCCTGGATAAATGGATATGAATCCAGTTGAGAATCTGTGGCAAGAGTTTTAGTGCTCACAGACACTCTGCATATAATCTGACTGAGTTTGTGTCCAGATGTGCCAAGCTAAGTCCTAATGAGAAAGACTCACCACTTCAGCCTCTGGTGGCTGGGAAGAGTAGTGCAGCAATTTATTTCCCCTGTACTATGGTCAAACTAACAATAAATCGAAACCTTTTTCCTTTTCTGTTCAGCATTTAGAACTTTAAGAAGAAAATCCTCCATATCAGTCTTTGTAATTGCTACAGTATTTGTCTTTATTTTGATAATCAAATGTGTCGCATTTTAATGAATATTTATAACATAAAGAAAAGGATTTCTCAATTTCAAAGAAAAATTGGAATCGCAATGAATTTTTCCACACAAACTAGGAGTTTGAACTCATTGCCTCCTCAGTTGCTACATTTAATGGTTTACTATTCATTCTGTTCAAACCCTTTCAACGAATGATTTGTGAAACTTTTGTTTCAGTTTTAACACTCAGTTTTCTTCAGTTTTTAGCATCTTAGAAATACTAACCAATTCCAAAAATTCTCCAGAATGACAAGACCATGAGCACATCTAGTCTAAATGTTCTTGTCCAAAATGTTTATTTTCTCATGTGGATTTTAATATAAGTATACAATCCCTCCTCCATATTTTTTTAGCTTACTCAAAGTCAAAAAGTGATAGAGATTTGAAATAGTTGTTTTAAACCATTTTAATCAAAGCCATGTTTACATTTGAAGCAAAGTAACCCCAGAGCATTCTGAAGCCACCACCATGTTTCAGTATCAGCATATTGCTTTTGTGCAGCATTTTTCTGACTATTTTAATTTTATTTCTTTATATTTATTCCACTGTTTTTGTCCCATACAGTGCATCACTTTTGGACTCCCGTGCCCCAACCTTGTATTCTTGAATTTTATTACAGCTTTTGCTTTTTAATATGCCACCCCCTGATTACTGGCGGCTTAAATCTCTAGCCACACCTTTAAAAACCGTTGCTGATGGTGATGCTGATGGTCCTCTGGGAGCAGTAAACTCAGCATAATGAGCTCTTTTTACACACATCATGTTGATTCATTGGCTTCACCTCAAACTGAATCCTGATTGTGTCTTGATGAAAAGCATTACCTCTTTTTTTTCCCTTCTCTAATCAATATTACAGCAGCTGTGATTACATGTAAAACATGCACAACGCGTGAGCAGAGCTCCGTTGGAATCGTGTATTATCTAATTTACATAAAAACACGCATGTCCTTTTCGCCTGGGCAGCCATTAAATTTCAGCTGCCGTAATTGAGTTCATTAGATTTAACGTCCTGGTCAAGGTCATCTTTGTTACCATGGAGACAGTGAGGCTCCGCCCCTCTTCCAATGTTCAGGGCATCTTCCAGGAGCTGCGGATACAGCCATAAGCAGCGCTCAAACAGAGGCATGCACTGAAGGATGTGAAGGGTTCGTGCTTCAGGTAACTCACATATTTAATTAGAAGTTAATAAAGATATTTTAAGAAGTAAAAGATGCCGAAAAGAAATAATTGAACGTCTTCAAAATGTCATCATTGCACTATTTAAGCGATAAAGTCAGCAAGTACGTGGGACATCCCCAACATGGACAATTTATTCTCAAATGAATTCTAGAGAATTTTAATATTTAGCCATTAAAATTTGGTAAATTTTAATTATGCACATTAGTTTGTAATGTTTAGTAATAATTACATTTTAAAGTTAACTACTTTATCTTGGTAGCTAATTGAACATGTTGGTTCATGTGTGTTGTCCACCTGAGAACTGGCTGCCTCATATGTTTAGCTGGGTTGTATTGTGAATGAGTAATATCACCGTAGTAAATTTACGACTAAAAACCTCTAGCTAATAAAGTTTCTGCGTGGAAACTACAATGAAAGTTTGAATTTAGCTTTAGCTAGTTTTGCCACAGTGCTACTAACGCTGCTAGCTAGCAGAGCTTCATAACCCTGAAACAGGCGATGCTAATTAACGGAAAATCTCATGTTGTCAGGGAAACAGCGTTATAATAGATATAAAAGACTTTACCATTTCTTCATTATTGTTGTCTTAATGACGAACATTTTTTGCTTACATTTAGCCTAATTTGTTAACGTTCTTTCATACGGTTTGTTTGAAAGAACGTTGTCTTATGAAACTGAAATTCATAAGACAAGGTAATTTTATTTATATGGCACATTTTCAGCAAAATATTGTCTTCTAACAATGGCTCTGTTCTTAAAGAACCAATTTAATGTAATTTGTGATTATTTAAAAACAATATACTTCATTGTTTTTCCCTCTGCGTCACTGCTGACTTGTGAAGACCTCGTCCTTTTCTGTTCTCTCTGCCCTTCACACATACTCAGTACCTGTAAGTGACCAGTAGGGGGTTCTGTTTTTTCACTAGTCATCTTTGGAGCATTCTACTGAGGCCTTTTAGTCACCAACCAGAAAACACAACAATTTGCCATATGTAATGTAAAAACGTGACATCAGCTGCTGAGGCGCACCTTCCTCAGCAACACCTCATCTTGATCTGAGCAGCTTCGTTCCTCCTGGATACAGCGTGTGATTGGTTCTTGGCTCATGCAGGTCCTACCCAATAGCAATTCACCTTCGCCGTGCCCTGCAGAGTGAAGTCAGCAGCTGTGCAATACCTTTACAGGAAACCGAAGGAAAAGAAAGGTACAAACATCCTGATTTTCAGTGGTTCTTGACATTTATTTACACATACTTTCTTTAAAAAACTGGAAAGAATTACATCTGCCTTTTTTCCCTTCTCCTCTTTCCTTTTTTTTGTAGGACCAAGAGAAACAAATCATGTAGGCAGTGAAATCACTTAGAATCGCCATTATATTTTCATTCACCCAGAAGAAAACATCTTGAGAATAGTTTCACAGATTTTTTTTTATTTTTGTTTGGATTTTAATGTTCAGCTAATGAACAGATTCAGCCAAACCTTTGCATCTCATCTACAACAAAATGAAGGCTGGTTTGGAAAGTAGTGTTTTGATATACACTTAACTATATTTGCAGAAGGAAATAAAACAATACCTGACCTGAAAAAAGTATTCACATCTCTTGAACCTGTTCATATTTTGTCATGTTACCACAAATTCCTGTGTATTTTTTTCATGATAGACCACCACAGTGTAGGACATTATTGTGAGTTAGAAAGTTAGCTCGTTCAGAATTACTAGTATTTAGACCACGAAGTTCAAATTTTTGGTTTTTAATTAGACCAAACCATCTTCTTTAATATTGAATGTAATGCTTAGATTGTGGTTAGAACAGGACAAACTATGACAAATGCATTCAAGAGATATCAATGCTTTTGGAAAACATTGTAAATATTTTCTTTCAAATAATTTAACTAAAAAAAAAACACATTTAAGAAGTTTTAGCCTCTGGTTCCTACAAAAAAAGTAAGCTGAAAATTATTTAAGAACACCGACTTTTACTTTTTATTCACTGTAGTTCCTCATATATCCACTTATTTATATGCAGAAAGAATTTTGGCAATATGATAAATACTGTGGTTCCCTCTCTTATTGGCAAAGAAGATGGCTCTAGAACTATACACGCCCTTGTCTTGCAGGGTAGAACCCATTTTCCAGAGCACCTGCTGAAGTGCTGATAACAAAACGAGCGGCTGCTCCATCTGCAGCCACTCCCTGCTATCTTCATTAAAATAGCACCAAGAACTCCTTCCAACATTAACACTGGCATGTTGCGACCAAGGGCTGATTCTAATGGTTGGGTTTGCTAACGCAGATGGTGGGAAAATCCCCTTCCTCAGTTTCTGTCCTAAACACAGAAGATCACTTCCAAGAATGGAAAACGTTGGACAGGGATCTGCTGCAGTGATAAACCTCTTCCAGAGGAAAATAATTCACAGTACCGTCACTAAAATCACGGGAGAATTTGGTTTTAGGAAAAAAAAAAAAAAAAAGGTACAAAAACCACACAATGCAGACCTGTTCACATCTTGATAAGCCCTTATCCCTTCACAGACTGATATTTAGTGCTCGACTCGGTGCATCATTGGGGAAATGTGTCAGAAACGAAGCTCATCGAGTATCCTCCACTTGAACGGAATAATGGGACATTCTCTGCAGCTTTGTTTTTTTCCTGTAAACAGGCCGTTGGCAAGAGGCGGACGGCTGGTTTGGCAAAAAATGTTGGTCTAGGTATGAAAGGTGGTGAAATAGCAGAGAAAGCAGGTGGAAAACACAATTCATCTTCGGTTACACCTATCACTTGGTGATACGAGTGATTCCCTGAGACTAACATGAGTTGATGCTTTCCAGAAAGATTTACATCAGCGCCGTTTCTCCCGGCATCCTGGCAATAATCTTTTTTTTTTTTCTTTGCCTCAAGGACGCTGCTGTACAATGGCGTGTAAAGGCCATTGTACGGACGGGGAAAAAAAGGAGTAAATTTCTGCCAAAAAAAAATAAAAAATTAAGAAAATTCCTGAGATCCAAAAGTTGAAGATTTCCAAGAGAAGAAACTCTGAAATTTTAGATAAATCTCAGGAATTTTCAAGGAAAAAAACTTGGAAATTTTTCGACTTTTGAAGCTCTGAAATTTCAAATTTTTTTCTAGAAGGTATCAGATATTAACCTCAAAATTTGAGATTTCTTTTAGCAAATTTTTGACTTTTCAAACTCAGAAATGTCCAAGTTTTTTTTTCCTTAAATTTTGAAATTAATCTCAATTTGGCAGAAATTTACTTCTTTTTTACCCCTATCCACAATGGCCGTAGTACGCCGTCATACCGCTATGTGTGTCTCAGACACTTGAAATACAGTACCGCACTAAATGCCTCACATTAAAAACATTGGAAGAAAATATTACATAAATACACTTTTTCCCCGCTAGGTGCTCAATGCAGAACAGTGAACCCAAATTTACACTTTGAGGTGCTGCTCCTCAGCTCGGCACCCAGTTCTGAGGGGAGGTCTGTTTTGCGCCGGAGAAACTTCCCGAGTTTCTGTTGCCGTTCTGGGTGGAGGTGGAGTCAAGGCGGACGTCGAAGCTCAGATCCAGGCAGTCCGCTTCCATCAGTTCGTTGCGGATGATTGAGTCCATGTCGTACTCCAGACTGTCGTTGAACACGTCCAGGTCCAGATCACCGGGGAAGCGGTCCTGCATCGTGGCGTTCTTGCCGGGAGACTTCAGGTGTGGCGGCTTGCTGTTGGCGTGGCCGCCTCCATCGTTGTCGGGGGTCGGCAAGCCAGCTTGCCAACCAGGCACTGAAGCGCTTTGGCCCACTCCGCTGAGATTAGCCATCATGGGGTCCTTGCGGAGCAGCATAGCGTTTCGGCGAGAGTTCTGCAGGGCAATGGCGGTGCTGGCCTGCGACATCAGGGGGTCAGACTGGGTGAGCAGGACGTTGTTGTGGCTGGGGGAGTCCAGGCTCAGCAGGTCCTGGTGATCACTAAAGTGCGAGATGGAAGTGAAGGTGGTCTGCTTGTTCTCCTGGATGGTCTGCATAGGTGACTGCCGCAGGCTTGTGATGGACGTGGGACTGAAGAGAGGGTTTGACCCGTAGCCTCCAGAAGGACTGCCGGTGCAGCTGAAGGTAAACACAGAGCCTCCCTGGCTGATGGCTCCGGGATCTTCCTCTCCAGGAGGAGGCTGCTGGGTTGCAGTGAGGCTGATGTTGTCCAAAAGGTTGTCCATCAAGTTGTCCGACAGCCCATCATTCAGGTTCATCGTACCAGCCAGGTCAGGGAGTCCCGTGGGTCCTGTGGACGGGGACATGCTGCTGGGGCTGGAGTACAGCATGGGGGACAGAGGGGAGTCATCGTCGGGGACCTCGTCCAGCTCTAGGTTGGCCAGGATTGGGGACAAGCGGCCGCTGAGCGTGCTGGCATTGGAGTTGGTCCGGGAGCGGAAGTCTGTCCAGGCGTCCAGCTCGTCGCTGCTGCGGGACGTTGGACTCCCTGTCCATTTGGAGAGGCTGGAGGAGCTCTCAGAGCTGCCGTCCTGCGCAGCTTGCAGAGAGGCTTTCTTCTTGGTGGCCCGTCCTCGGGCTCCCTTGATGTACTTGCCGTTATCCATCGACACGGCCCGGCGACGGGGAGCTTTGCCTCCTTTACCGCCTTCCGGGTTGACTATCCACCAAGAGCTCTTCCCTGTCCCTTCATTCTGGACTTTCACAAACCGGCTGTGGAGGGAGAGATTGTGTCGAATGGAATTCTGAAAAAAAACGGAACAAAACACATGGTGTAAGGTAGGAGTGGACAATATGGACCTAAAGTTATCTCACATTATTTTGTGGTAAGATTGTGATAAGAAGCATTTGTGGATTCTTTTTTAGGTAAGTGTATGGCTGTGCTCCTGTCTTTTATTCACCAATCATCTCTAACAAACCTCTAAAGCCTTCACCAAACAGCTAAGATGTGTCCCTTTAAACTAACTGTATTTACCCTTTAGATGACTCCTGAACGGAATTGGTTACACACCTTTATTTAGGGGTAGCAGAGTACAAATCCATGTCAGACTTTTAGGTGTAGAAAATGTTGAAAACCATGCATAATTTTGCTTCCACTTAACTGCTTTGTGCAATACCATTGTGAGAATTGCAGCATCCAGCATTTCTGGAACTTAAACTTTTCAGTAAACTATCATTTTGACAATCTTTTTCCCCCTATTTTGTCTCACAAAATTTTCCAGCTTGATCCAACCAATTAATCCAGGAATAAGAGTGAAATGCAAATGAAATGAAGTTGGTACAGGATAAGGAGTAGACATATGAACATCCACCACATTGTTCTATATTTCCCTTATGCACTATCAGAGAAAAAACAAAAAGCAAGATTGTTATTGCAATAAATTCCATGTCCAGAATTTGGTCAACCTTATGCAGAGCTGTTAAAATGATCAGAAACACGTCAACCGAATAACGTGAACACATATGGTCATAGATCAGACGGCGTGAAATGAGAATAAACAAGCGATGCAAACCCTTCAAAGCTGGATGTGTGGGTTTCATCTGTGTGTATGCAAGCTGCGTGAATAACTGCAGTCCAACAGACTGCTTTGCACCTCTCACTCTGTCCTATTTCTGGCTGCTCGGAAAGGTCTGCAGGATTTCTCTGGAGATCTTCCCAAGCATGTACAAAATTAAACAGTTGGAACCTGCACACCCAGCCCAGTCACATCTCACAGAAACCAGAGACTCTGCAGAGATCTCTGCAGGCCACAGTCCAGTCTGAAACAATCCCATTATGATTCGATTGCAACATTAAAATCACAAGTTTTATTTCTTGACGACAGAACAGGCTCTGCTCGTCTTTATTAGTGTTGTACAAAGCTGCACATCTGTAACATGGACGTGCAGCACAAGGTTAGATCTTTTCAAGATGTGGCAGGATGAAAACACCTGGAAATGTGATGAGGAAATTGTATTCGCAGTTCATTGAGATTAGCACAACACAGAGGAGCCGTACCATTAACCACAATGTAATCTTGTACAAAAGTAATAGATAATTTGCTTGAAGGGCAAACTTTAGCGATCTTGTTGCCCAGTAGACGGGGCCACCCTGAAGAGTGAGCCTTTTTCTCCATATCAAATTTGGTCACAGATCAGTTACAGGGAACCTGTAAAAAATTTAAAAAGTCAGCTGGGACTAACGTGGCCAAAACAGACGCTCGATTTCAAGTTCACAAGTATCTAATCCTACACAAAGAACAGTTTTTTCTTTTGCTTTGTTTTTTCAAACCAAACCATTTAAAAGTTTCACAATCGTCACAAAGAAGCCTCAGAAGAAACATCCCGACATGTTGCTCATTTTGTAAGTTGCAAGTTGACAGCAGAATAAAACCACGTCCTATGTTCAGTTTACTGTAATCCAGTACAGCAGAATGGCAGTAAATAAATGAACTTTTACGTCCAGTTTTGACAGAGGTGGTAGTGATTCTGCTCTGCGGTCTTTTACTAGGCTGCAATTTGTGGTGATGCCGAATTGGACTGCATTGTATTACAACAGGCAGATGTACAACCACAAACAAAGGTTAAAGCACTGAATCTAAACAATTCTGGCACAAAGAAAATGGAACATAAAAACTTTTTTTTTTAAAAAGGTACTTATTTACCAAAGAAGGATTGGGGCTTTTGGGTCATGTAGAGTTCATTTAGGAGTCGTTCATTCAATCCTGTTAGAGTTATTAAAAGAAATCAGATCAACTTTTGCATCTATTAAAAGAGGTAGTTCAGAACTTAATACAACACTGGTATCAATGTATAAACACAAATATTTAAAAATAAAAATTGTGACTGCTTTCATTCTAATTTATTAATGATTATTTATTACAGTTATTATAATGTTAGAACATTTATTTATTATTTTGATTTTGATGCACAGGCTTCAACAAAAATAACTGCTACTAAAACTTGAATTTTATTTTTTTAGGGATGCTGCTTATTGTGGAAAATATCCCTTTTACCAGCTGATAATTAATCAGGCTTTTTAACAGTTTTGAAACTTTTACGTTTTTAAACTTTATTATTCCTGTATTTCTCTGTGGAAAGGCACTTGGTTATTTGTGGAAAATTTACCAATTTGCACTTTTTTTTTAATTACATATTTGAATAAAAATGCAGGTTGGAAGCTGAAATACCTCGTTGCTATGTGGCTAACATTATTTACCCTTGGATAGGCAAACGACTAGCATGTCTAGGTTGGTCACCCGTGACTGGTGATTTTCTTTAAAGAAAACTTTATCTAGAAAAATGCTTGGGATACAATATGTGTAAACACCATACATGTTTTTTTTTGACAGTTTACTGTAATCTGCAGGACATTAAGCATAAACATACTATATAGCAGTGGTCCCCAACCTTTTTATTACCACGGACCGGTCAAGACTTGGAAAGTCTTGACCC